ATGCCCTCATGACCTCATCCCTCATGCCCTCATGCCCTCATGCCCTCATGCCCTCATGCCCTCATGCCCTCATCCTTCATGCCCTCACGCCCTCATGCCCTCATGCCCTCATCCCCTCATGCCCTCATGCCCTCATGCCCTCACGCCCTCATGCCCTCATGCCCTCATGCCCTCATCCCCTCATGCCCTCATGCCCTCATGCCCTCACGCCCTCATGCCCTCATGCCCTCACGCCCTTATGCCCTCATGCCCTCACGCCCTCATGCCCTCATGCCCTCATGCCCTCATGCCCTCATGCCCTCATGCCCTCACGCCCTCATGCCCTCATGCCCTCATGCCCTCATGCCCTCACGCCCTCACGCCCTCATGCCCTCACGCCCTCATGCCCTCACGCCCTCATGCCCTCATGCCCTCATGCCCTCATCCCCTCATGCCCTCATGCCCTCATGCCCTCATGCCCTCATGCCCTCATCCCCTCATGCCCTCATGCCCTCATGCCCTCATGCCCTTATGCCCTCATGCCCTCATGCCCTCATGCCCTCACGCCCTCATGTCCTCATGCCCTCACGCCCTGGTGCTCTCATGCCCTCATGCCCTCACGCCCTCATGCCCTCATGCCCTCATGCCCTCATGCCCTCATGCCCTCATCCTTTCATGCCCTCATGCCCTCATGCCCTCATGCCCTCATCCCCTCATGCCCTCATGCCCTCATGCCCTCATGCCCTCATGCCCTCATCCTTTCATGCCCTCACGCCCTCATGCCCTCATGCCCTCATCCCCTCATGCCCTCATGCCCTCATGCCCTCACGCCCTCATGCCCTCATGCCCTCATGCCCTCATCCCCTCATGCCCTCATGCCCTCATGCCCTCATGCCCTCATGCCCTCACGCCCTCATGCCCTCATGCCCTCACGCCCTATGCCTTCATGCCCTCACGCCCTCACGCCCTCATGCCCTCATGCCCTCGTGCCCTCATGCCTTACGCCCTCACGCCCTCATGCCCTCATGCCCTCATGCCCTCACGCCCTCACGCCCTCACGCCCTCATGCCCTCACGCCCTCATGCCCTCACGCCCTCATGCCCTCACGCCTCATGCCCTCATGTACTCCTGCCCTCATGTACTCATGCACTCATGCACTCATGCCCTCATGCCCTCATGCCCTCATGCCCTCATGCCCTCATGCCCTCATGCCCTCATGCTCTCATGCCCTCACGCCATCATGCCCTCATGCCCTCATGCACTCATGCCCTCATGCCCTCACGCCCTCATGCCCTCATGCCCTCATGCCCTCATGCCCTCATGCCCTCATGCCTTCATGCCCTCACGCCCTCATGCCCTCATGCCACTCATGCCCTCACGCTATAATGCCTCATGCCCTCACGCCCTCATGCCCTCATGCCCTCATGCCCTCACGCCCTCATGCCCTCATGCCCTCATGCCCTCACGCCCTCATGCCCTCATGCCCTCATGCCCTCACGCCCTCATGCCCTCATGCCCTCACGCCCTCATGCCCTCATGCCCTCATCCCCTCATGCCCTCATGCCCTCATGCCCTCATGCCCTTATGCCCTCATGCCCTCACGCCCTCATGCCCTCATGCCCTCACGCCCTCATGCCCTCATGCCCTCATGCCCTCACGCCCTCATGCCCTCATGCCCTCATGCCCTCATCCTTTCATGCCCTCATGCCCTCATGCCCTCACGCCCTCATGCCCTCATGCCCTCATGCCCTCACGCCCTCATGCCCTCATGCCCTCATGCCCTCACGCCCTCATGCCCTCATGCCCTCATGCCGTCATCCCCTCATGCCCTCATGCACTCATGCCCTCATGCCCTCATGCCCTCACGCCCTCATGCCCTCATGCCCTCATGCCCTTATGCCCTCATGCCCTCATGCCCTCATCCCCTCATGCCCTCATGCCCTCATGCCCTTATGCCCTCATGCCCTTATGCCCTCATGCCCTCATGCCCTCATGCCCTCACGCCCTCACGCCCTCAAGGCCTCACGCCCTCATGCCCTCACGCCCTCATGCCCTCATGCCCTCATGCCCTCATGTACTCCTGCCCTCATGTACTCATGCACTCATGCACTCATGAACTCATGCCCTCATGCACTCATGCCCTCATGCCCTCATGCCTTCATGCCCTCATGCTCTCATGCCCTCACGCCATCATGCCCTCATGCCCTCATGCACTCATGCCCTCATGCCCTCACGCCCTCATGCCCTCATGCCCTCATGCCCTCATGCCCTCATGCCCTCATGCCCTCATGCCCTCATGCCCTCATGCCCTCATGCACTCATGCCCTCACGCCATAATGCCTTTATTCCTCATGCCCTCATGCCCTCACGCCCTCATGCCCTCATGCCCTCATGCCCTCGGCCCTCATGCCCTCATGCCCTCATGCCCTCACGCCCTCATGCCCTCATGCCCCCACGCCCTCATGCCCTCATGCTCTCATGCCCTCATGCCCTCATGCCCTCACGCCCTCATGCCCTCATGCCCTCATGCCCTCACGCCCTCATGCCCTCATGCCCTCATGCCCTCATGCCCTCATGCCCTCATGCCCTCATGCCCTCACGCCCTCATGCCCTCATGCCCTCATGCCCTCATGCCCTCACGCCCTCACGCCCTCATGCCCTCACTCCCTCATGCCCTCATGCCCTGATGCCCGCATGCCCTCATCCCCTCATCCCTCAGGCACTCATGCCCTCATGCCCTATGCCCTCACGCCATAATGCCTTATTCCCTCATGCACTCATGCCCTCATGCCCTCACGCCCTCATGCCCTCATGCCCTCATGCCCTCACGCCCTCATGCCCTCATGCCCTCACGCCCTCACACCTCAAGGCCTCACGCCCTCATGCCCTCATGCCCTCATGCCCTTATGCCCTCATGCCCTCATGTACTCCTGCCCTCATGTACTCATGCACTCATGCACTCATGCCCTCATGCCCTCATGCACTCATGCCCTCATGCCCTCATGCCTTCATGCCCTCATGCTCTCATGCCCTCACGCCATCATGCCCTCATGCCCTCATGCACTCATGCCCTCATGCCCTCACGCCCTCATGCCCTCATGCCCTCATGCCCTCATGCCCTCATGCCCTCATGCCTTCATGCCCTCATGCCCTCATGCCCTCATGCACTCATGCCCTCACGCCATAATGCCTTATTCCCTCATGCCCTCATGCCCTCACGCCCTCATGCCCTCATGCCCTCATGCCCTCACGCCCTCATGCCCTCATGCCCTCATGCCCTCACGCCCTCATGCCCTCATGCCCCCACGCCCTCATGCCCTCATGCTCCACGCCCTCATGCCCTCATGCCCTCACGCCCTCATGCCCTCATGCCCTCATGCCCTCACGCCCTCATGCCCTCATGCCCTCATGCCCTCATGCCCTCATGCCCTCATGCCCTCATGCCCTCACGCCCTCATGCCCTCATGCCCTCATGCCCTCATGCCCTCACGCCCTCACGCCCTCATGCCCTCACGCCCTCATGCCCTCATGCCCTCATGCCCTCATGCCCTCATGCCCTCATGCCCTCATGCACTCATGCCCTCATGCCCTCATGCCCTCATGCCCTCACGCCATAATGCCTTTATTCCCTCATGCACTCATGCCCTCATGCCCTCACGCCCTCATGCCCTCATGCCCTCATGCCCTCATCCCCTCATGCCCTCATGCCCTCATGCCCTCATGCCCTCACACCCTCATGCCCTCATGCCCTCATGCCTTCATGCCCTCATGCCCTCACGCCCTCATGCCCTCATGCCCTCATGCCCTCATGCCCTTATGCCCTCATGCCCTCATGCCCTCATGCCCTCATGCCCTCACGCCCTCATGCCCTCATGCCCTCACGCCCTCATGCCCTCATGCCCTCATGCCCTCACGCCCTCATGCCCTCATGCCCTCATGCCCTCATCCCCTCATGCCCTCATGCCCTCATGCCCTCACGCCCTCATGCCCTCATGCCCTCACGCCCTTATGCCCTCACGCCCTCACGCCTCCCCTCATCCCCTCATGCCCTCATGCCCTCATGCCCTCATGCCCTCACGCCCTCATGCCCTCATGCCCTCATGCCCTCATGCCCTCATGCCCTCACGCCCTCATGCCCTCACGCCCTCATGCCCTCATGCCCGTATGCCCTCAAGTACTCCTGCCCTCATGTACTCATGCACTCATGCACTCATGCCCTCATGCCCTCATGCACTCATGCCCTCATGCCCTCATGCCCTCATGCCCTCATGCTCTCATGCCCTCACGCCATCATGCCCTCATGCCCTCATGCACTCATGCCCTCATGCCCTCACGCCCTCATGCCCTCATGCCCTCATGCCCTCATGCCCTCATGCCCTCATGCCCTCATGCCCTCATGCCCTCATGCATCATGCCCTCACGCCATCATGCCTTTATTCCCTCATGCACTCATGCCCTCATGCCCTCATGCCCTCATGCCCAATGCCCTCATGCCCTCACGCCCTCATGCCCTCATGCCCTCATGCCCTCACGCCCTCATGCCCTCATGCCCTCACGCCCTCATGCCCTCATGCACTCATGCCCTCATGCCCTCATGCCCTCACGCCCTCATGCCCTCATGCCCTCACGCCCTCATGCCCTCATGCCCTCACGCCCTCATGCCCTCATGCCCTCATGCCCTCATCCCCTCATGCCCTCATGCCCTCATGCCCTCATGCCCTCACACCCTCATGCCCTCATGCCCTCATGCCCTCACGCCCTCATGCCCTCATGCCCTCATCCCCTCATGCCCTCATGCCCTCATGCCCTCATACCCTCATGCCCTCACGCCCTTGTTGGATACCTCTCCTTCTCCTCTTATCACTCCACTCCACTCCTGCTTACTCCCCTTGTGCCATGCATTCCTTTCTCCCCTTCCTTCTCCGGTCATTCCTCACCCTCCTTTGCTGCTGTTCTCTTTACTCACTGACCTCACCCTTGCTGGTGCCCTGCTCTGGTACTCGTTGTTGCATGACTCCTTTCTACCTCTCCTGCCCCCTCCCATGACCTGCAGCGGCCGTCCTCGCCCTGGTCATGGGACCTGAGTAGCCACCTGCCCGCTGCTGCTTTCCTGCGAGGGCCACGTTGGTAACGTGGGTCCATACTCTCTTCCCAGTTGCATCCTCCAGCACCAGTACTCCTGATTCCCGAACCTCCTTCACCTCCCATCTCTGCTGAGACACTACCACATCTAGTCCGTCTCGCTTAGCCCGCCGCACGTACACCGCCTGCCCTTCCTCCACTGCTGTCTGCTTCCCCGTCATTTTGTTCACCTGCCTCTGCTTGTAACGGTGTATGTCCCGCAACTGTGCCACCTTCAAGCTCTCCATGGCCGCTGGTAGCAGCTTCTTCAGGTACTTGGCTCTCGCGTCCGCCAGTGCTACCCATTCTCCACTGTGTTAGTCCTGACTGTATCGAGCATCAGCCTTGGTGCATCCACTGGCAGAGTATAGGGTGCTTTCCGAAGAGCAAATAATACGGTGACACATCCTTCAGTGACGCCTGCTTGCTAAACCTGTACCCCGCCATCACCCACGCCAGCTTCTTATCCCAGTCGCCCTTGTTCGCCTCCCCATATACCCGCAGCCCTTTTTCACTGTCTGCACCAGTCTCTCCGTCAGGCCGTCACTCTGTGGATGGTACCTGGAGGTGGTGCGGTGCTGGATGCCGTTCTCTGCTAACAGCTCCTTGAACTCCCCCTGGAACTCCGTCCCTGGTCGGTCAGCACCTCCCCACACGCACCGAACCTAGTCAGCACCATCTCCTCGAAGGCCTCTGCCACTGCTTCAGCCATCTTGGCCACCAAGGGCCTTGCTTCAGCCCATTTGCTCACATGCTCGATCATGAGCAGCACGTACCGCCTACCCCTCCAAGACACAGGCAGCTCTCCCGCGATGTCCAGTGACCACCAATACCCCAACTCCACGATGCTCAAGGGCTGCAGCTCTGCCTGGCTTTTTAGCAGGCTCGCCTTGTTCCTGCAGCACAGCTCGCATTTCTCCACCCACTCCTTCACTTCTTTGCGCATCCCTGCCCACCACCACCCAGTTTGCAGCAGCTGCAGGGTCCGTAACGGGCCGTAATGCCCCAGCTTGTTGTGAACTTCGCGGATGATGCCTTCCCTCTCTGTCGGTGCTGGCACCCGCTTCCATCCGTCCTTAGTCTGCAGCTGCACCTGCCCTTGAAACCACCTGTAGTGCTGCCCCCGCGCCTTTGCTCTTGCTCCTGCTCCCCCGTCCTCTGCTATCTCCCCCTTTATCCACTTCAGAGTCTTCTCATCCTGCCACACGTCAGCTGGTCCTTTCTGCTGCTCTCCTCCCGTCCCTCGCTCCCTCACCATGGCAGTCAGAGCCGCTGCTGGAGGCGCTGGCTCTGGTTCTGGCTCTGGATTCCTGCCTCCCTTAGGAGGGTTCCTGGAGAGCCCATCCACGTGCTGCATTGTGGTGCCTGGCCTGTGCTTCACGGTGACGTCATACTCTTGTAGTTTTATGGCCCACCGCGCATTTCATCCTGTCAGAGTCTGATTATGCATGAGCCACAGCAGGGGCTGGTGATCAGTGACCAGCGTGAAGTGCCGTCCTTGCAGGTACACTCGGAAGTGTCCCACCGCCCACACGGCTACCAGCCCCTCCCCTTCATAGGACGAGTAGTTGGCCTCCGCCGGGCTGCAGGTTCGGCTGGCAAAGGCCACCACCTTCTCCACTCCGCTATCCATCTGACTCAGGACTACCCCCATTCCTATGCTGCTCCAGTCCGTATAGAGGATGAATGGCTGCTGTCCGTCTGGCAGCTTCAATACGGCCCCGGCCTTGACTGCCTCCATCAGCCCCCGTAAGGCCTGCTCTTGCGGCTCCTCCCATTGCCACTTCTGCTCCTCCTGCAGCAGCTTGTTCAAGGGTGCTGCTCGCTTGCTGAAGTTCTCGATGAACTTGCGGTAGTAGTTGAGAAACCCCAGCAGGGCCCTCAGGCTGCTTCTATCCTTCGGCCTCTCCACTCGATCCAACACCTCCACCTTAGCCTTCTGGATGCTCAGCTCTCCTCCTGCCACCTCAAACCCCAGGTACGCTACGCTCCCATGTCCGAAGCGGCACTTCCCGGGATGACAGGTCAAGCCGGCCGCCTCTATTGCTGTCAGCGTCGCCTCCACGTCTCGCACGTGCGTCTCTGCATCATGCCCTCATGCCCTCATGCCCTCATGCTCTCATGCCCTCACGCCATCATGCCCTCATGCCCTCATGCCCTCACGCCCTCATGCCCTCATGCCCTCATGCCCTCATGCCCTCATGCCCTTATGCCCTCATGCCCTCATGCCCTCATGCCCTCATGCCCTCATGCCCTCATGCCCTCACGCCCTCATGCCCTCATGCCCTCATGCCCTCATGCCCTTATGCCCTCATGCCCTCATGCCCTCATGCCCTCACGCCCTCATGCCCTCATGCCCTCACGCCCTCATGCCCTCATGCCCTCATGCCCTCACGCCCTCATGCCCTCATGCCCTCATGCCCTCATCCTTTCATGCCCTCATGCCCTCATGCCCTCATGCCCTCACGCCATCATGCCCTCATGCCCTCATGCCCTCATCCCCTCATGCCCTCATGCCCTCATGCCTTCATGCCCTCATGCCCTCACGCCCTCACGCCCTCATGCCCTCATGCCCTCATGCCCTCATGCCCTCACGCCCTCATGCCCTCACGCCCTCATGCCCTCATGCCCTCATGCCCTCATGCCCTCACGCCCTCATGCCCTCATGCCCTCACGCCCTCATGCCCTCATGCCCTCACGCCCTCATGCCCTCATGCCCTCATGCCCTCATGCCCTCATGCCCTCATGCACTCATGCCCTCATGCCCTCATGCCCTCATGCCCTCATCCCCTCATGCCCTCATGCCCTCATGCCCTCACGCCCTCATGCCCTCATGCCCTCATGCAATCACGCCATCATGCCCTCATGCCCTCATGCCCTCATGCCCTCACGCCCTCATGCCCTCATGCCCTCACGCCCTCATGCCCTCATGCCCTCATGCACTCACGCCCTCATGACCTCATGCCCTCATGACCCCATGCCCTCATGAGCTCATGCCCTCATGCACTCATGCCCTCACGCCATCATGCCCTCATGCCCTCATGCACTCATGCCCTCATGCCCTCACGCCCTCATGCCCTCATGCCCTCATGCCCTCACGCCCTCATGCCCTCATGCCCTCATCCTTTCATGCCCTCATGCCCTCATGCCCTCATGCCCTCATGCCCTCATGCCCTCATGCCCTCATGCCCTCACGCCCTCATGCCCTCATGCCCTCATGCAATCACGCCATCATGCCCTCATGCCCTCATGCCCTCATGCCCTCACGCCCTCATGCCCTCATGCCCTCACGCCCTCATGCCCTCATGCCCTCATGCCCTCACGCCCTCATGCCCTCATGCCCTCATGCCCCATGCCCTCATGAGCTCATGCCCTCATGCACTCATGCCCTCACGCCATCATGCCCTCATGCCCTCATGCACTCATGCCCTCAAGCCCTCTAGCCCTCATGCCCTCATGCCCTCATGCCCTCACGCCCTCATGCCCTCATGCCCTCATGCCCTCATCCTTTCATGCCCTCATGCCCTCATGCCCTCATGCCCTCATGCCCTCATGCCCTCATGCCCTCACGCCCTCATGCCCTCATGCCCTCATGCCCTCATCCCCTCATGCCCTCATGCCCTCATGCCTTCATGCCCTCATGCCCTCATGCCCTCATGCCCTCATGCCCTCATGCCCTCATGCCCTCATGCCCTCACGCCCTCATGCCCTCACGCCCTCATGCCCTCATGCCCTCATGCCCTCATGCCCTCACGCCCTCATGCCCTCATGCCCTCACGCCCTCATGCCCTCATGCCCTCATGCCCTCACGCCCTCATGCCCTCATGCCCTCATGCCCTCACGCCCTCATGCCCTCATGCCCTCATGCCCTCATCCCCTCATGCCCTCATGCCCTCATGCCCTCATGCCCTCACGCCCTCATGCCCTCATGCCCTCATGCCCTTATGCCCTCATGCCCTCATGCCCTCATCCCCTCATGCCCTCATGCCCTCATGCCCTCATGCCCTCATGCCCTCACGCCCTCATGCCCTCATGCCCTCACGCCCTCATGCCCTCACGCCCTCATGCCCTCACGCCCTCATGCCCTCATGCCCTCATGCCCTCATGTACTCCTGCCCTCATGTACTCATGCACTCATGCACTCATGCCCTCATGCCCTCATGCCCTCATGCCCTCATGCACTCATGCCCTCACGCCCTCATGCCCTCATGCCCTCACGCCCTCATGCCCTCATGCCCTCATGCCCTCATGCCCTCATGCCCTCACGCCCTCATGCCCTCATGCCCTCACGCCCTCATGCCCTCACGCCCTCATGCCCTCATGCCCTCACGCCCTCATGCCCTCATGCCCTCATGCCCTCATGCCCTCATGCCCTCACGCCATCATGCCCTCATGCCCTCATGCCCTCATCCCCTCATGCCCTCATGCCCTTATGCCCTCATGCCCTCATGCCCTCACGCCCTCATGCCCTCATGCCCTCATGCCCTCACGCCCTCATGCCCTCACGCCCTCATGCCCTCATGCCCTCACGCCCTCATGCCCTCATGCCCTCATGCCCTCACGCCCTCATGCCCTCATGCCCTCATGCCCTCACGCCCTCATGCCCTCATGCCCTCATGCCCTCATCCCCTCATGCCCTCATGCCCTCATGCCCTCATGCCCTCATGCACTCATGCCCTCACGCCATCATGCCCTCATGCCCTCATGCAATCACGACATCATGCCCTCATGCCCTCATGCCCTCATGCCCTCATGCCCTCATGCCCTCATGCCTTCATGCCCTCATGCCCTCATGCCCTCATGCCCTCATGCCCTCATGCCCCCATGCCCTCATGAGCTCATGCCCTCATGCACTCATGCCCTCACGCCATCATGCCCTCATGCCCTCATGCACTCATGCCCTCATGCCCTCACGCCCTCATGCCCTCATGCCCTCATGCCCTCACGCCCTCATGCCCTCATGCCCTCATGCCCTCATGCCCTCATGCCCTCATGCCCTCATGCCCTCATGCCCGAGGGTGCTTGACCTCGGCCAACGGGCATTCAAGCCCGGCAGAGGGTGCTTGACCACAGCCTAGGGATATTCAAGCCTGGCCGAGGGTGCTTCACCTCGGCCAAAGGGCATTCAAGCCAGGCCGAGGGTGCTTCACCTCGGCCAAGGTGTATTCAAGCCCGGCCGAATGTGCTTGACCTCGGCCAAGGGGCATTCAAGCCCGGCCGAGGGTGCTTGAGCACGGCCTTGGGGTATTCAATCCCGGCCGAGGGTGCTTGACCTCGGCCAAGGGGCATTCAAGCCAGGCCGTGGGTGCTTGACCTCGGCCAAGGGGCATTCAAGCCCGGCCGAGGGTGCTTGACCTCGGCCAAGGGGCATTCAAGCCCGGCCGAGTTTGCTTGACCTCGGCCAAGGGGCATTCAAGCCCGGCGAGGGTGCTTGAGCACGGCCTAGGGGCATTCAATCCCGGCCGAGGGTGCTTCACCTTAGCCAAGGGGCATTCAAACCCGGCAGAGGGTGCTTGACCTCGGTCAAGGGGCATTCAAGCCAGGCCGAGTGTGCTTGACCTCGGCCAACGGGCATTCAAGCCCGGCCGAGGGTGCTTGACCTCGGCCAAGGGGCATTCATGCCCGGCCGAGGGTGCTTGACCACGGCCTAGGGGTATTCAAGCCCGGCCGAGGGTGCTTGACCTCGGCCAAGGGGCATTCAAGCCCGGCCGAGGGTGCTTGACCTCGGCCAAGGGGCATTCAAGCCCGGCCGATGGTGCTTGACCACGGCCTAGGGGTATTCAAGCCCGGCCGAGGGTGCTTGACCTCGGCCAAGGGGCATTCAAGCCCGGCCGAGGGTGCTTGACCTCGGCCAAGGGGCATTCAAGCCCGGCCAAGGGTGCTTGACCTCGGCAAAGGGGCATTCAAGCCCAGCCGGGGTTGCTTGACCTCGGCCAATGAGCATTCAAGCCCGGCCGAGGGTGCTTGACTCGGCCCACGGGCATTCAAGCCCAGCCGAGGGTGCCTGGCCTCGGCCAACAGGCATTCAAGCCAGGCCAAAGATGCTTGACCACGGCCGAGGGGCATTCAAGCCCGGCCGAGGGTGCTTGACCTCGGCCAAGGGGCATTCAAGCCCGGCCGAGGGTGCTTGACCTCGGCCGAGGGGCATTCTAGCCCGGGAGAGTATGCTTGACCTCGGCCGACGGGCATTCAAGCCCGGCCGAGGGTGCTTGACCTCGGCCAACGGGCATTCAAGCCCGGCCGAGGGTGCTTGACCTCGGCCAAGGGGCATTCAAGCCAGGCCGAGGGTGCTTGACCACGACCTAGAGGTCGGCATTCAAGCCCGGCCGAGGGTGCTTGACCTCGGCCAAGGGGCAT